TGAAACTATAATTTTGTTCTCTCTCAAGCATTTCCTAAATGAAGCACCCAAAGAACCCCGACCAACGAGGCTGCTTCCCCAGCAGCACCAAAATTCACGTCCAAAACAGATTTCAAAAGTATTTTTAAAAAAAAAAATACCATTGATTGACCGACCATCAAAGTTTGGTCGTGAGACTTGGGCAGTACGTAGTACGTCTGCATTCATTGGGACATGTCGAGTATATCTGAAACTTAAAAGGCTCATGCAATGACAATGTTGACTCGTGGCCTGTGGGTAAAAACTTTATTACCTTCGTGGAGTTGGTGGGTAAACAGTAGTACTACTCTTAAGTTTCCACCAGCCATGTGTAACCGTGGCTACGACTTTCTGCCATTTTTATTTACTCATGGCAACATTCTATATTGCTGATGAGCAGGCCATTTTCAACGTTGATCCCTTGTTCTTTTTACCCTACAGAGACAAACGTTTACGTCTGCACTACTATACAAGATAATGTTTTCTTTTTTTTTTGGTTACATGAGGGGCGGGATCGAACCCGTATATTACCAACACACGCACACACTAGATAATGTTTACAAGATAATGTTTTCTGGTGGGTCATTATTTCACTTGTTTCTTCATCATCAGCTGATGACTTCATTGACTAAGATGGCTATTTTGTTTGGTTTCGTACGTACATTTATTGATCAAGTGGAACTGACGATCAAGAGAGAAGAGAAGAAGCCGTGAACGTGTTGCCTTTTCCACAACACTAGCAAAAGATCACTTGCAGCTATCTAACTAATTATTATTGTGCTCAGTCCAATCCAAGCACTAAACAAAATTACAGTTCAAATCTTTAGTTTAATTAGGTATATATACAGGAGAAGAAAGCACTAATGGGAATATTACTGCTGATAAATAAGATTGTGGAAAAGAAGCATGCATGTTGATGCAAGGACAGGAGAGGGCCAAATGGAATATAAAGCAAGAGAAATGAATTGAACTTGTGAACGAATTATCAACTTGTCACGTAGTACATTATAGATGCGATATGTCACGGTCTTTGTTCCCCTCTTATTGGCGCTTCAATGAGAAGATTGGTCTGTAAATTATTTGTCCGTGTACATAATATTAACTTTGTGACAGAAAAATGATTGATTCAACTTGGTCGATTAAATTCAGATGGGGGAATTAAATCTGGCTTTTTCAAAGTGCATGAATCTGATCAGTGGCATGAACCAAGTGCATGTATCCTGCAGATATGCGGAGAACCAGGGCAGGAAATAACTGATCAAGTTGGGAAATCAGCGGGAACAAAATTAAATATTCCTAGTTAATGCCTCAATAATACTACCTCCGATTCTAATTATAAGAGCTAATTGACTAACTTGAGGAGATTGAGAAAATAAGTTAAGTTAGTTATTTGTAATAAATAAGTGTTTTTTTCCTTAAAATATCCTTGTTAATCAAATGTATTGCCTAAAATTATCATTATTAGAATGACTACCTTGAAAAAAAATATATAAATATGATAGACAAAATATATTAAGGTCTTATATTTAGGATTAAAATCAAAATCAAATAAAATCTTATATTAAAATCAAAGTTAATAACAATAATCATAATAATTCCAGCATGAGGATCTTAATTGGGAGCAGGGCTCTCCAACTTGGGGATTTTTCCACAAAGATATTTTGATGCCAAAGTATGGAACTTTCAGTTTCGTGAGCCTGTGTCACTTATCCATTATAGTCTGGGCCCACCAACTCTCCGGGGACCCACCAAACAGTTCTTGGCCCCTCCCCCGAGTTGCGGGTCGCCATTCTGATGACTCCTGTCCGCCGGGACCTTCATGCCTTCATCCCTGAGGCAAAATAAAAAGTAAATAACAGAACATTTACTGTTTTACTAAAATGTAATTAAATTTTTTTCCATAGGTCCATGCATTTGTGCATAGTAAATTGATAAGCTATGATGTTTATTTTTTTCAATATTTCAGCGAGTGAGCTTAACGTATTTATATGAAATTTGGCCCCAAAAAACATTTACATGGAACACGACCTTGTGCTGGTTTGGAATCATTTAGATAAACACTTTTCATATAAGTTAAGCTCTCTTTACGTACTCATCTTGTATTTCATAAATTATAATTAAAAATTTGTTTTCATTATAAGGAGCTCGAACTAAATGGCAGTTCACGTTTTGTAATAATTAAAGTAGATGTTGATGAGAGGAACAAGGAAGGACGTGTACGTAGTTAATGGATGGCCGTGGAAAAAGACTGAACAAGGAATTTGTGGATATATACATACGCAGGGGGACCCAAGTGAAGCGATATACCCACATCACCCTCTTTGAAAAAATTCATGCACGTAATATATATATTCAATGAAATCTCGGGCGAAAAAATCAAAGATTGAATCTGAAATCGTATGGATAATAATACTATCACATTGTAATCTAGAGAAGTATCCATGGTAAAAGAAAGTACATTGACCCCTCTTTATATATATAAGTTGTTTTCTTTTTTCCTTTTCGATGAGAAGGAGGGAGTGTTGGGAAGCCGTAACTAGAACATGCGAAGGTGATGTAGGGGCGGCACACAGACAAAAGGCTACGATGACCCCACATCAGAAGATTGACGATAAGAAGAAGGGGGAATTACAATTAGTTCCCAAGAAGATTGACGATAAGAAGGAGGGGGATTCATTAACCGGTCGGGTTTACAATACCATGATATTATTAAGAGGGAGTAAATGGATGACATCAGGGCCTAAGCAAGGTGATTAAGGTGGGGCCTGCTGCAAAATAAAGCAGAGCTTTAAACAAATCTTTTTCTATTTGGTGGGCAGAAATGCAACGCCCATCATCATCCACACTTGCCTGTCCTATTTTGCGAAGTATATAACGGTGTAATAAATTAAGACTATTTTTGCGTGTTATGAAAAGTATGAAGGGCAGGGATCGTTTGGTGCAAAGCACATATATATATATATAGAGAGAGAGAGAGAGGTTCGATTTATATTTTTTAAGAAGAAAGTGAGATGTAAAGTAAGCAAAGGTTGGGATTATGGGGGATGGCATCAGAAAGAAAAGGGTGGGTAGGCAAAGTAGATGGTGGAGAGTGAAAGGGGCAGTATATTCACTCCCTTCTTTTTTTCGGGATCATAAATGTGCTTTTCCTTCTTTTCTATTACTTTGATTAGTTAAATATCAATTGCAAAGTTATGCATGTACATATAGCGGCTAGCTAGCTAGCTAGCTATCTAGAATGGGATATTAATGTAAGTAAATACAATTCACAACATGCGGGTGTTGATTGCGAATGATGAACCTAATTTTTTTCCCATGGATCTTTTTTTAAAAATAAAAGCACCTTTAAGTAACATTATAATTAAAACCTAGAACAGTTAAAGAATAACCTCTTAACAAATGCATTTCTTCAAATTTGAATTTGTGTTTTCCTCTTCACAAAAAGTGAGGTTGCTATCATTTCAACTAATAACTTGTTAGTACGAAGTTAATATTTATCAGTAAACTTATACTTCAATTAGTCCGTCCTCGTCAAGAACTCTTGGATTTAATAGTGCCAACCTCCTCCCTTTGGATGGGTTCTCTATGTGTTGTTAAGTGTGCGCGTTGAAATATTTTGTGTTCAAGCTTATAATCGCGCTTAATAATACTCGAAGTTGAACCAATCAGATAATCACGCAAGAAAAACAAGAAATGAAAGCTCACACGTTGCAAGAATCTATGTACACTCCACGCTCGTGCGTGCGGCAGCTCTTTGCCTTTGTTAGGTACCAACAACCACCCCTCCCCCCAAAAAAAAACAAAAAAAGGAAATTTCTTTATAGGGTCCATCCTCTTTCTGCCCTTCACATTCTCTCTAATTTATTTACTTCACTCACCAGATTACTCTTCATTTCTTTTATTCCCTTCAATAAAGTCACCAACCAAATTTAGCCTCATCGCATCATCCTTTTTGTGTGTGACGCTGAATTTCACATCTGATTATGAGCACCTCATCGCAAATTGATACAGACAATCCATATTTACATTAGTTGATATGTCCCTGTGGATATTGATTGCTGGGAGGGAGGAAATGAAATGATCTCTTTAATGAGATTCTTCTCATTAACATATTTATAAGTCAAATTCCACTCTTAACTTTTTCCCCCGCAGGCCAAAAAAAACATGCACGAGATTCATGATGCGATTCTCGTCCAAACCTAACTCCCAAATTATTTAACATCGGGAAAAGATAAAGGGCACGAAAGTGTAAATGAGATGTTGCACGATCAACTTTCCCGGTCAAATGCGCTCGAGACTCTTAAATATAATACCAAGCCTTGCACTTTAAGCAACAAAAAAGATCATCTTAGTTTTAGTTTTCATCAAAGCTCCTTCAATAAAATTCCCAATCACTCTTTTCCCTTTTCGGTTGGGTTTACTTGGGTTTCAGGTGGGAGACAAATTTGCACATCAGCTTTATTTAATGTTCTCAAACAAACAAAAAGGTTCTCAAACATTCCCAACGATCATCACCGTTGGTACACCCATAATCGCAGCCGTTGATTAAAAATAGGTGTATGAATACCCACGAAGTACGGTACCGTTCCCCCCCGATATTATAACAATAGCAGTGACTTTGATTTTGCGGTCATAGTGGGCGGCTGACCTAATCTCTGTTTTCGCGAGCCAATACGTCTCGTTTTCACCCCCACACCAATTCAAGCGCGCCACGTGTGCATGCTGACGACCCGATCCTTGACCCGCCCCCACTTGCCGGTCGCACCGGACCCCACACCATTACCGCCTTATTCCCCCTTCCTTCCCCACTCGACACTCCACTTGCTCTTAAATTTCTATTTTCACTGCGACGCATTACTGGTATCGTTTATGCTTCCATATTTGTTCAGTAATATAAAATTGTTTCCTGTTTCAATTCAATGAATTTATAAAGGCTTAACACTTAAGATACGCAAAAGAAATAAATAATTAACACGCTTAAAACTGCCAAGGGAATTATGATATCAAGATACATAAAACTTCTTATTCCACCATTCCATATATAGATTATTAGACTATAGACATTGAACATCCACTATTTACATTCCGACCCCAATAGTTCCGCATATTTTGACCTAGAGACCCAACCTATACCAGTTTTCCTGCCTCACCAAACCGTATTTCACATATAGCTTAGCGTATTGTCTGCCTTTCCTTTTATCTTCCTCTCAACCTATTTGGATCTTGTATATACAGAGAACTAGAAGCCACTAGAAAAGCCAAACCAAAATACCAGAGGGGGGATATATCAGAGTCCCCGATTCCGGCCCCCCTGTCAGGGGCATTACTGCAAATAAACTAAAATACTCACAGAGTATCTAGTCTAGTATTCTATGATTAGTCCTCCCATTGGGGCCCTGTGAGGTATCCCCTTTCTTCTCTTGGCCGCCCTGTGATTCCCCGAAGTCGGCGGCGGCGTCGACGGTGTGAAGCTCTGAACTTTACTGTTCCTGCGCCGGCTGTGGCTGCTGCTGCTGCTGTATGAATCCTCTGACTCCGATGCTAATGCCGCCGACCTTTTCTTCTTCTGGAAATCCCTCGATGTCCCCTTAATCTGCAAATTTCGCAATCACATTCATCAGCGAGAATGAAACAGAGGCAAGTAAATTGAATGAATCAGAGTCTTTCTTAAGGAAAAGTAAAGTCAACTCATTTGAACTAAGAAAAACTTCCTCTGGTAGCTTGAAGAGAAAGCAAATTAAAATTAAGGGAAACACATTACCTTGCAGCCCAGAGAACAGAATCGATAGGAATCGAGGAGGCTACGCTCGCAGACTTCGCAAGTGTTGGTGACGCCCTTTCCGGGCCTAGGCTGAGGCCTCTCGTTCAAGAACACCACCCTTGCGCTGTTGATAATGTAGGTCTGAACGCCGGATATGTCGAGAACCTTCTGAATCTCATTGACTCTAATCACATCGTGGTAGGAAGACCTCCTTATCTGTGAAAGGACCCCCATAAACTGAATGAGATTTTGAAAAAGCAGAATCCAGATTAATTTTAAGCGTTATCAATGCAGGATCTCGAGGGATTTGTTTTTTTCAAAAGAAGAAAACTTAAAAGCAAAGGAAACATCAGGAATTGGCTAATTGGTGGGGGATGAAAACAGGGCTGAATTAATGGAAGGCTCAAACTTCACGAATTAAGGAAACGCGTGACCGGTATAGCAAATTCCGGAAAAAGAAGGAACCTAGTAGCCCCATTAAAGGAAAAGCAATGATTTTGGAAATCAGAATGGGAGCCAGATGCAAACAGCTATCAAAAACAAGGAATTTAAGGAAGAGGAAGAAAATAGGGATGAATTAGTAAAAGATAGATACCTGTATAACACGATGGTCTCTGTGGTCCGCGAGGCAGAGAGAGCAGAGAGCGCCGTTCATACAATCCAGACAATACATATTGCATTCGCTCTTGTGAGAATCAGCGTGCTCCTGGCATGGAACAAAGAAGCTCTCTTTGAGCAGAGGCTTCAACCATGGCGGCCACCTGTTGTCCTCGCCATCAGGACCTCCAGCAGCCTATTTAAATTTCACAAAACAAAACCAAAAGCAAAAAAAGTCAATAATCTACGATTCCCAATCAGACCCAGAAACAAAAAACAGAACACCAATGCACGCTGATATTTCAGATTCCCTCGAAACCCAGATGAAACAGAGCAAAGCGCATTAGCCGGAATTATAACAGAAAACACAATGAGAGCAATCAGAAAACAATCCTAGAAGGTCCTTACCATGATTCTTCTGTTCTTGGGCTTGATTTCCATGACAGTGGTGTCGTGGTGAGCTTCGAAGGCCATGACTGGTAAGCGAGAAAGAAGAGGATTCGATGAATGTGAGAGAGAGTGAAGAGGGATATGAATGAGGGGGTGAGAGAGAGGTTTGAAGGAGAAAAGGGGGTTAATGGGGTAGAAGAAGGAAGGGGCGGTAGAATGGTGATGGGGTGATGGCGTTAAAGAAGGAACGAGAGAGTTAAAGAGAGAGACTGAACACAGAGAGCAAGGCGACGGGTCGTTCTTATCCGCACAAAGTCCACTACCAAACCTAGCTCCGAACCCAAAGCTGCCCGTAGATGCGTTAGCTGCAAGGAACTTGCCTTCCCATTTCCCCTTTTTTTTATATTAATCTCTTTTTCAAAGTATGATTTATTTCCATTTCACTCTTCTACTCGCTTTGGTCTTATCATTTAAAAAAGAATAAAATAAAATTTCTAATTATTTGAATCGCTCTCACTCATCGCTCATCAAACGCATTTTCCCCTAATTATCACATTAGGCACACCTATCTCATCGGTTTTAAATTGATTTATAATTCTATCCTAATTGCATATTCACGTTGTTCTTATTATTTTATATTAAGTTAGCTCCATTCATTTTGCTATGTCATCTGTTTATTATTGATTTATGATTACATGCTAATTATTCACCATTTTTTTTAAAATTCATGCTGCTTAATTAATTTTAATAAAGCAACTTGCATTATTACTTACTCTACAGTTTCAGTATGTTACAATTGAGTGTGTCAAGCGAGATAAGAATCTTTGGATTTGTTATACTATAAGCATACAAAGAGGAAACCTTTGGCTGATGCTTAATTTGTCAATTCCCATGACAATTGTTTATTATCGTCAGTGCGCAACATATATATTATAAATGAATTAGTCAATTCAGCTTAATTATAGATTGCGTCTAGCAAATGGCAATAATGTATTAGCAAAATTAAACGCAGAGAAACCCCCCAGGTAATTATTAATTTAATTAAGTTGTAATTAAATAATGCTCAGGTTGGTTGAGGCGAGCAAATGGATGAAATTATAATTTTGGAAAGAAATTTAATATAGTGGGAGAAGAATATGCATTATGTTGGCCCTAATAATGGTGGGTTAGGTCTCAGTTGGCTGGCCATCCCAAGTGGGATAAACAAAGGGAGCCGATTATATGAATAAGCATAGGAATATGAGTAAATATAAATTTGAGGGAATTCCAAATTATTATGTTCATGAGATGCGAGGGTGGGAGAGGGATGTGATTTATGAAAAATGACGTGGGAACCAAATATCTTCAATTATTGGTTGCAGTGTTTGCCGTTCATGAAGTTAATATCCCACATAACCACGAGATGGTCAAGTCCCAGAAGAAAAGCTGTTTCATTCCACCAAAAAAAAGAAAGCTGTTTCAGTCTAGTCATGTTATAAAGTAAATGTTAAACACGGGAGCAAAATCTCTTATCTCCTAAAATAGATTCTTGAAAATGAAACCAAATCCCCGCTAAGATATACCATTCTGATTTTTTTTTTCAAGTTGCTCAGGATATCCCCTTATTCTAATTATAGTTCATGTTATTAATTTTTTATCACTCCCTTTTTCTCTTTTACCTATCATTAAATATTTGTATATCTCTTTACCCATATAATTTTATTTATAATTCGCTTCTAATATATTTTACATCAAACATCCGCCTTAAAATTGAAAAAATTCTCAACTTTATATCTATTTAATATGTATACTTTTAAAAAATAACAATATAATAATAATAAATAAAAGATAAAAGAGTTCATTCATATTAAAATGTAATAATATGACTTATGAATAGGACCAGAAAAACTTATCTCTTTTACCTTATAAATAAAAACAAAAACAACTACTTTTAAAGTATTCATATTTAATAGGAATAAAGTGAAAATCTTATTAAATTGTTAGATAAACTTGATCAGGTTTAAAGTTTTTTTTTATTCTAGTGAAAGATATTAAAAATAACTTAAAAAACACAACTTCAATTATGGGATTCAGAAAAAAGAAAAGGGAAGGGAAAAGGAAATTTGAATGGTAAGTTGAGTGCAAGTGATTAAAATAAATTAAATCAGTTTGATCGCATCACTAGGAAAAGAAGATCACTCGATCACATGTTAATAATGGAGTTTTGGTGATGTGTGATTGGGATTAAAGGGAAATCCACTGAGGGCGAGGCACTATGAGCAACACGTTTGATGATGAGGGTTAGCCATTACTATTATTATTATTATTATTGTGAACACTGTAAGAAAAAGGAATATATAAAGCAGTGATGATCAAGTGGGAGGACGACTTTATGGGAGACCCAAAGTACATGATTAGTGAAGCAGCCAAAGTTGAATTGATTATTGATTAATTATAATTAGAAACATTTTCTTCAAATAAACAAGGCATCATCATGATGAGACAAGACCCTAGCGGTTACTCGTTACCTAGTAGTTGCAAACTGTTGTTTCTCCTCAAATATCTCCTCAGTTTTAACATATGTGGCACGTGACAATTCCTTCCTCTCTTTTTCTTTTTCTTTGTTTTTTTGCTTGGTTTTTTCTACCTATCCTTTTGCACTTCTTTTTTTTTTTGCCGACTGCCTGAACTTGAGGTTTAAGTTTGTGTGAAAAGAATGTTTTTTGTTCACTTTCCTTACTGTTTACCTTCTCCCAAGTATTCACACATTTCAACATATTCTGACCAGAAACGTATATGTTAAACTTTTAAACCACTTATTATAGTTATCATATTATATAACAGCTATTTAATTTTTGGACTAATGCTCGGTCACGTTCCACCTTTTTAAAGTGAGGTTTTTAACTTTTAATTTTGTGTATGAAAAAAAAAAAAATTTACTACCTGAAAGCCTTAGATTCATGTAATCCAACTCAATCGGCTCTGAATTTAATTTCACATAGTATTTGTTAGCTAAATCAATTTATATGTGATTTTAATTTTTTTGGCCTGTTTGAATACATGAAAGTATAATACTCCTCCAGTCCTTAATATAAGATCCATTTAACTAATTTGATTAGATTAAGGAAATTAGGTAAATTAGTTAATTATAAGAAAAGTTACATATTTTTTCTAAAACACTCTAATTATCTTTTTTAATACCCTCTCTCCTCTTCTACTTGATTATGGTTTAGGGAGTATCCATAGGGTAATTTAGAGAAAATTAATAAATATAAAAAATAAGTCTTATATTTAGACCCAAAACTAACTTAAGAATTAGGTCTTATATTAAGGATCGAAGGAGAAATGAATAATGAAACTTTTCTATCCCCATAAATTACATCTCTTTCATTTTCAACTAAAATGCAAGGGTTAAATCTCCTTACAAGCACTCAACATCATGAATGGAGAGTGGTGAGATCCTATGTACAGTCAAGTCAGACGACTTTTGCTTGGAAAATTGCAAAATTATGAATGTAAATAAGAAAATTTTGCGGATAAATGTTAGTCCAAAAGAGGATTTAGAGTCTAATTAATCCCAATCACTCCCAACCCAGTGCAAAAATAAGTGTTGGATCAATCAAAATAAAGTGGCCCCATTTCACTCTGCTAGAAAACATTGATAATTAAGAAGAAGAAAAAAACAGTTCCAGGTTCTCCGACACTACATTGTCATCATCCTCAACCACTGAATTTATACTATCTCTAATTCTTAATATAAGAACTAATTGATAAATTAAATTTAATTCTAGACATAAGACTTCAATCCACTTTGTCTTCATCTTTTCCAAAAGTATTTCTATCTCATCTAATATACATGATTGAAGAGGATGGTTTAAGGAGACCAATATATATTTATGACAAAAAAACAATTTAACTAATTTTATTAATATTCTTAAATTAATTATCTAACTCTCGTATTAAGAACTGGAACTAGTAAGACTTTTCTACATGGCAAAATTGAATTAAAGCGAGTGCCAACAATATAGTTGTCAACAAAGGGGACACGTTTTGGTCTAACACTCGCCCGCTTCGCTGCTAACTTCCGTTCTCTTATATAACAACAAACAAACGATCCATCCAAGCGGCTGCAACTTCTCTATCTCACTCCATTTTATCCTTTCTCTCTACCAAACACACAGGAGAAGATCGAAGCCCTAGAAGCTACACGATGATTATTGCAGTATTATCTCCTTTCTGTATATCCTTCATTAATATCTAGTTCATCATACTTTTTCCTTTCATCACATGCTAATCAGATTAGGTGTCTGAGGGTGTGAGCGAATTAAGTGAGTGCGTGTTTGATAGGACACTGACCATATCTTTTTTGCATCTTTTCTTAGAGTAGTGGAGAGCAGGGAAACCATATCTGCGGCCAGATTCATCTGTGGATAAGCACTACTGAGACTCTACTTTTAGTTTTTACTATATGAATTCCTTATAGAGAGAGTGATCGTATGTTTTTCTTTATACGTATTGGGAATACAATTCAGTTCGTTGTTATGTTTGAAGAAAAGGAGGTAGTGGAAGGTGGGCCATGCCCAATTGCTACTGGACAGTGGTTTGTGTTGAACTCAGGAGATTGAAAGTGGCCTAAAGGAGACTCATAAAGCGCATCAAAAAAGGGTAACGATGGACTATAAGTTTGAACACCATTGCTATTATACATACACATGCACACACATAGCAGAATATAACCCCAAAGTATATATGGCCTTTTATTTGGGGGGTATGCTTATAAATTTAGAAGATTCTGCCTCGTTCTGATAAATGTGTAAAGCAGAGATGGGGATTGGGAAGGTTGGGGTGTAGAGTTCAATGTGATCTATACCGTCATTAATTTCATTTTCATAGGATTCACATCACCATATTTTGTTTTTTTGATACAATCATATCACTATATCTAATTTAATTTGGAGTTGGGTTCTCAAGAGCCATAATGGCATCCATCTAAGCAGGACTAAACGGACAAGAGTGAAGGGAATGGGCAAAATTAAGGAGACATTCAGTACCCCTTTCATTTCTTTTTACAGAAAACATCTAACTAAATTGCGGAAATCAGCAAAAATTTAGTAAATACGTAAAAATTATAAGTTTTTTTCCCTTAAAATACTCTTATTTATGGAAGGGAGTATAAAAAAGAATAAGAAAATAAATGAATGATGTTTTAAAAAATAAAATAACAAATATATTAAGTATTAAAATGAATAATTAATAGGAACAGAATCCGATCCATTCCTAAAAAACAATTGTTATCTCTTATGAGAAAAAATAATTATTGTGAGGGCAGGGTGAGCTACAACTTGGCAAATTGCAGAATGCAGAGTCCGTGTCCCTGAATTACCGTGCAGAGGCAGGGACAAAGTTGAGGATCGAGTTTATTATAATGTTCATATTTATGCTTTAATTTATTTTAATGTGGTTTTTTCCTGTCATTTTTTTCTCAATAAAAACAACTCATACACCCACCATGTTCATAAAGAATCAAACTCACGACCTGTACTAAGAAGCTTAAAAAGATTACTAGCGTCATTGCATAAAAAGCCCAAGTGATTCCACGCTATCTTTAATAAAATCTTTAATAAATGATAATTTTGCATGGGTCATTTTTGGGGAAAAATTAAGGCTTTTTTTGTTTCCTTTTTCAATTTCTTTGTTTTTAAAAAAATTGCCTCGATAATTGCCTTAAAAAGTTGCGTTTGAAAATAAATACATCGGGATTGGAGGCTGAAACTTTAAAGAGACTTCAAATTCTTAAATAATGAAGAAAAAGCCATCAAGTGGAGAAGAGTTCTCCTAATTTTCTTACACAAAATAATAAGAAATAAAAACAGAAAAATAACAAAACATCTAAAAATTGTGTTAATTTTTAAAAACTAATTTCGGTTCTTTTTTTTAAAAAAATACCTGACTAAAAATAAATTTCCGAACATTTCAGGGGGTTCATTATATACGAAGATTTACCGTGGCGGGTGAGTTCGCTTGATATAGAAACATCCAAATGCTACTGTAGTCGTTGATGCGTATGAATTAGAGAGAGAGGTTTGCACTAAGCACATTTCAATAATGACAATGCCGTCCAATTATTGGAGTCTCAAGAGTGCACAATTGGTCCTCAACCCCCTTTTTGCTTTCCCATAACAAGTTAAATCAATAATTTGTGTCTTATTTTTAAAATATTACCATTTAATTATAAACCCGAGAAAAATAAGACATATGTACTAGTACATACATAATTGGAGAAATTAATATAATGGGTATAAAAAACTTGATCTAAATATTTTTTATAATTGAAATGTGTTTAAAGTGGTTTGATCAGTGATAATTATTAACAAAGGGAGAAATCATATAAAAAAATAGTTAATATCCATAGAATTTTAAGGTAACATTAATTGGGAAAAAAAAGATTCTAAAATAGGAGTAACAAATAATTTGAACCTGACTAATTCACTGTTAATAAAGGGCTCGCAAGATAGACTTAAAGAGTAAAGCAGAGTAAATGATTTTTTTTAAAAAAAATGAAAAAGAAATGGGAAAATCACAGGAAAGAAGGGAAAGATGAAGGGTAAGGTCAAAAAAGGAGGGTTGCCATGGAAAGAGGCTCACCACCAGACACATTACATATGTCATCACACACGCTTGTTGGTGCCGTCCAAGGCACACCAACGTTGACCCCTTTGCTTCACACGTGTGCCCTCTTCTCACGTAATCACCCCCTTCTGCGGGCCCCCCACTTCCCGCGTTTCCGTCCCTCTCTGGGTCCCACGCTTCTTGTCTTCTTCCCCTTCTGCCCTTCTTATCTCTTCTCTGCCTCCCCGGCCCGTTCCTTCCATGTCTCCCTTCCCAGCTGGGTCTTTTGATATTCTTTTTCCCATTTTCTACTCCTTGTTTGTTATGATCTATTTTCCAAAAGCACAATTTTAATAAAGGGCTCATATGGGCCAATATTCATTATGATGAAAGCTTTAAAAATTATATTTTTCCTGTCTTTAATATAGAACCTAATTATTGAATTAATTTTAATCTAAAATATAAGACCTATTTCTCATATTTATCAATTTTTTTCTAAATTACTCTATATGGATACTCTCTTAACCATAATCAAGTAGAAGAGAAAGAGAGGATATTAAGAAAAATGATTATGGTATTTTAGGAAAAACATGTCATATTTTTCTTATAATGAAAACATGTCATATTTCTTATAATTAACTAACTTACCTAACTTTTTTAATTTAATTAAATTAGTTAAATAAGTCTTGTATTAAAAACTGAAGTAGTAATTATTTTGAATGACCAGATAATTATTAACCCTCCATTATCTATTCGTGGAAAAACACCCTAAAGGGAAATGAAAATTTGGGAGCAATGTGCTAACTTAATTATACTCCCAGTTTAGAACCAAAATATTTAAAATTTATGTAGAAACATCACAGTTCGTTTTTGTTTTTCCTTGGCCAAGATCAAAAGGTATTTAATAGTTCAAATGTAAAAGGTTGAAAACATTGATTGCAAGTTATAACATAGTCAATAGTAAGCTACAGAATGAGTATTAAATTCTTATAATTATGTGCTTTAATTAAACAAAATTTTTCCAATCTTTGATGATGCATGTGAAGAGTTGGAGCATCCTTTGCAAACTATCACATATCAGGTTAAATTTTGACACCTCATTTGCGAACCTATTTTTCATTTTTCTTTTTTTTTTGGCCCTCTATTTGTGAACTTCTTGCATCTATATGTGATATGCGCGCTTATAAAATTTTACAGTAAGAATTTCCTCAAGTTTCTTATAATCATTAGAGTATTACTGTTCCGGTCCTAAATATAAGATTCTTATAAATATTATAAGGATTTTATATTTAGAACAGGATAAGGATATTATATTTAGGATCGAAGGAGTACAATCATATTATTAAAGTCAAATTTTTTTTGGATAAATTTTATACGATGGGTTTTAGTTGCTTAGATTTTTTTTTTTTCACTCTTCAGAAACCCGGTGGGAATATAAAGAAGAAAGATTTTTTTTTAAACTATCAATAATTGCTATTAATTTTCTTGTCCTTTAAAATCATTGCGACTTTTATGATCCTTTGTCATATATTGATAGACTATATAAGGTTTCTTAATTAAACTTTTCCCTCTTCAAAAGCTCTATTGTTCCCGTTAATCAACCATTTTATTTTGTTAGTGCCATGTAACCCAAATGATACTAAGTGCCCCTCTTAGAATTTTCTTAAATATAATTTTTTGAGTTCACTTTCTGTTAAAAAAATATAATAATGTGTGTATGAGTTATGGGAAAAATCATTTGATCGTCTTTTTTTGTCAAACTGTACTTCACTTCATCTTTATAGCATTACATACACTAAAAATAAGATTATGATACTGAATAAATAATAAAAATAAGATGAGAGCATTATATGCACTATAAAAAAAAATTCAGGGAGATAGACCCCCTTTACCCATATATAATAATGGGTGATGATAATCTTCAGAGTTGGGAACCTAATAATCTGAAGCCTGTTTATTAGAGTTGACATAATAATTAGGTTATTCCAAAAAATAATTGATTTTCTTAGCCGAGATTTGTCCCTGATCAAAAAGTAAATTCTACTTTATTCCGAGTGTTTTGTCTTCTCTGAGATCTCATGACTATTCTTTCCCTTTGCTCCTTTTTTTTTATTGCCTTTTGTCCTCTTATGTGTCGTCATTACTCATTACCATAGTGTGTTTTTTTGGTCGATTCAATATTGCGATGTGGTCGCTAATAAAACCAAAACCAAAAACAAAGATAACGAAGATTTCAGTAATATTCCTTTAGATTTGGTCATTAGCATTTAGCATAATATGATATAAAAGTTCTTGGTTTGGTGCCACTAGTATTGGATGCACACAGATTTTAAAAGTGCAAAATATTATTTTGGAGAGCATTTACTAATCCATAGATTCAGTGGGAAGTACATTTTTGTTGCTTGGATTGTAAATATTATTATTTTTTAATTCTACAATTTAATATTTGTGTTTAATTGTTTGAATGATTAAAATGTTTTAAATTTAAATGGTACTCTATAACATTCATTTATCTTATTAAATCTTTCTACTCATGTAACACGTGGTTGTCCATTCTAGTATTAAATTCCAAAAATTTCTGACCACAGCCCAACTTATTCATCTTTTCGTTTTCCCTAAAAATGTGATTGTGATGTACTACAGTACATTGGGATAAGATTATGAGATATCGAATGAAAATTTGTTAATTAATTAATTATCCCTGTTGAATCCAGTTGTCTCCAAACTATACATAATTTGGCATTTTTAGATATTTAGTTTGATATTTTAATTTCGTTGTTCACTCCTCCTGGGACAGGCCTGGTCATGGGTCCACAATAAATATTGATTTGGTGTACACGTTATACCTACAAAAAATTCTCTTCCGTAATTATTTAATAAGGAGACTTACATTCATATGCTAAGAATTTATAACTAAACTTTTGTTTAATTAACTAATTATCGGCGGGATAACTTGATGAGTAAATTAATTGCATGTTAATGGCGATTGATTGCGCCCCAACTGCTCAATAATCAAAAGTCGGCGTTAATGAGACGAAGACGACAATGTTTCTGTTTCAAGAGAAGAATAAAAGGCCAAATTGACAAACCCACGTATAAGATTACCTTAATATAAGAGCTAGTTAGCTAATTTGAGTAAATTAAAGAAATAGTTAATTAGTTATTTGTAATAAATAAATATTGTCTCATCTAAAATACTCCTTGCTAAAATTACCATGTGACGAAAACTTTTAATATGTACAACTACTACAAGGATCTTGAGAAAAATGAAAAAAAAAAAAGAGAGACACAGTGAATTAGTGTTTTTATATTAGAACCAATTAAAGTCAAACTAACTCTTATATTAAGGACAAATGTAGTA